TTAGGTGACAAGTGGCTGGAGAGCAGCACTTGTGAAAGGGACCTCGGGGAACTGGTTGACTGCAGGCTAAACATGAGTCAGCAGTGTGATGCGGTGGTCAAGAGGGTGAACACCACCCTTGGTTGCATAACCAGAAGTGTGGCTTCTAGATCAAGAGAGGTATTACTACCACTCTACATGACTCTGGTGCGCCCACAACTGGAGTATTGTGTTCAGTTTTGGGCCCTTCATTACAGAAAGGATATAGCCAGGTTGGAGTCAGTGCAGCGTAGGGCCACAAGGATGGTGGCAGGTTTGCAGGGGATCGGGTATGAGGCAAGACTGAGGGAACTGGGTCTCTTCAGCCTGGAGAAGAGGAGACTCAGAGGGGATATGTTGGCAACATACAGGTATGTGAGGGGATGTCACATGGAGATGGGTAGAGACCTGTTCTCCCCTGTAGAAGAAGGCAGGACACGCTCCAATGGAGCAAAGCTCAGGGAGCCAAGGCGCCATTTGGATGCCAGGAAGCACTTCCTGACAGTCAGGACCCTGAGGGTGTGGAATGGGCTTCCACAAGAGGTCGTGGAGGCCCCATCAGTGCAGGTGTTCAAGGATAGGCTGGACGTCCACATGGTGGGCATGTCGTGAATGGAGCCAGCTGGTGCCGGAAGTCAGTCTAGATGGCCTGGGAGGCCCCTTCTGACTCGCTCTGTTTTCTATGTTTCTATGTTTATCAAGACAAGCGCCTTATATGGAGGATTAGCACTGTAAATTATGATTGTTGTCATATCTGTGTCCCAACCTTCCTCCAAGTTGATCATGTGGTATACCTTGGAGTTACTCTCAATGTATCTTAAGGTAGTTCTTGATCAAGAGTGCAACCCACAATCAACACAGTAGATTATCTCTCACAAGCATTTTCAACCTTTCATTGCTAACCCTTCCTACTGAACATTACAAGAAGAACGTCCTTTTCACATGCAAGGGCAGCCTGTTCTTTCATCTTGTTCTGACAGGGTGCACTGAAGATTAGAGTCTGAATCTGCCTAAATCCAAAAAGGAGAGGAGGATGACTCACTTCACAAATGCAAGATGGCAGGACATGCAATCATAGCAGAAGGATGTTTTTCATTCACATGTAGTGCTATGTATTTAAACAATATTTCTTTTGCCTATCTGGGAATATTCATCAGTTCTAATGAACAGAACATACCAGCATGCACAAAGACATGTGCATTTAGATTGTCTTCCTAGTTCAGAACGAGTGGGCAAATCATTGTGGACAAAAAAATTCCCTGTATACATTAGAACTCCAAGACCTAGAAAACATTGATGAGTTAAGAGATTGTCTCATAGCCATGGATGTACATTACAATTTACATGATTTATCTTTGGGGTAAAATTTAATGCACAGAATTCATCATTATTCCCACATTATATTAGAATTGGGCTAAAATTTCCACTTGATAGGCTCTTGCTTCACTCTTTAGAATTGCCTCTGGTCTGCTTAAAATTGAACTGTGCAGTCAAAGGGTACATGTAATGCATGCAGTCTGCAAAATATTAAGTGTATGAAATCAATAAGCACTCAGCCACTTTTCATGGCACATCAGGTGAAGACACTGTGCTGGCTGTTTCTTGGTTTCTTCTTGGTATGCTGCTTGGTTCAAACTCCACAGCATGGTATCCTACCACTCTTAAGGTCTGAGGGATCTTTCTCATAGCATGGAGATAAATGGGTGATAAGAGCATTTAATTTCCTTTGGATTAGACACTGTGCATGTGTACAAAAGCCCAGAGAATCCATCCTTTCTACTAAATTGTAGTGCATGTGGTTCTAGAAAGAAGATAGGTGTATCAAAACTTTTGTGCAATTCTGACTGCTTTGTGTAATTGCATGTTTGCAATTAGTCAACAGGTTAGTCTTGAGAAATCACTGTCACTCATTTAGACCACATCTACCTCTGCTGAGAAATACAAAGGATTTGAAAGAATTATTTGGCATTCACTCTGTGATTCAACCTCTGTTTGCACATTTTTATTATGACTCTGTGCCAGCTTGACTGAAAGTGTTAGTAATGATAATTTAACTTTTTGTCTTTCAAATAATTATTCTAATTACCTAACCTAAGATAGATTTGGCATAATAAGATGCTAAGTATTCATTAAAGTACTCTATCTAGATTGTTTCCTATCATAATGGATTATCACTAATGCAAAATACATTGTGATGCCTATTCTTTTAATAAGCTGCTATCTTTTAAAACCAAAGTCTATTGTACAGGATGTTAATTATGTGTCTGCTTATTGAAGTTGATTTACTTTATTCTAGCTTCTAATTTGCTCAGATAAAATATAAAAAGAAGTCAAGAAATACTTGCATAAAAAATAAAACAAATTGCATATTAACTTCCTGATGATGCCAGTAAGGCTTCTTCCAAAGCACAAAATAATTGCAATTGCAGAAACAGGAGTCTTAGAAATGCAGACACGGAAGGAAATAGCAGCAAAGAATTATAGTCATGGCGTCCCCTGCCACAACCCAGTCTCCAAGGGAGATTCAGAGGATGGCAACAAGGAGAAGGGCTTTCTTTGTGGTGGCTCCCATCTATGGAACAACCTCCCCACTGCAGCCTGCCTAGCACCAACCTTGTCATTTTTCAGCACCAGGTTGAGACATCCCTTTATGCTATCAAAATTTATTTGACTTCCTGGAGAATTACCTATCCCAGATGTTTTTCTTTTAACACATTCTGAACAAGATCATTTCGCTGTTTGCAATTGTTAAATGCTGATTTGTTTTTTATGGTATTTGTATTACATTGTTTTTATGGATTGTTATAAACTGCCCAGGTAGTTTTGGCTATGATATAGTGCAAAAATGAAATAATTTGTTATTAATTATTTTTTATTAATATTAAGTCCTTCATCAAGTATTCATAAGTGGGGTAGGGTCAAGTTGGTGCAATATCAAATCAATCATGAAAATCAAATGGGATCCAGCTATGCCAAAAAGACCAAGTTAATTCATAGAAGAATTAACCCTACACACAGTAAGTCCTAGCTGAGCTCTTGTCAGCTTGATTGTTGATTCAAGCAAGCAAGCTGGAGTAGTTGTTTACTGGGAGTAGAAAATAGATTTTCCTCCTCTGCCTCTTTAACAGTAAGCCTTGATTTAAAAAAGAAATCAAATGAAATTAACAAAGCTTTTTAAGTAGGGTTTAGCCAGTCCTAGGCAGAGTTTTCATCTCCTCCTTACCCATTGCTGTCAGATATTCTGCTCTAAACTGCAGCTCTGTGCAATTAGCATTGGAGGTCAGAAGTGATTTTGCCAAATCAGGACAATGAATGGCATATGGCAGGTGTTGGGACAAATCCGGCCCATCTTAGCTTCCCATCCGACCATTCATGGTTCATGAGATGCCCATGCCCCTTTCTGTCCTCAGATTTCCAGTTTTTGTGCAGTTTTTGCCACAGTCTTTAAAAGATCCTTCCTCTAAGGCCCAGTTATTCTCAGTTAGAGCTTCATACTAAAATAACCTGGTATTTTGGCCCTGCCTCCTTTGCCTTCAGTCCGGCCCATCAATAGAATGTGTCCTGTGAGGGAATCTCCAAAGTAGAATTTGGCCCGTGGGGTGAAAGCAGTTCTGCATCCCAGTCTATGGCATTTGGCTTTGCTTCCTAGCATGACCTTGTTGGATTATTTTGCAGCTACAAGATCTACCAGTGTGGGACTTTCTGTTTACATTTTTGTGGCACAGTGAAATACAGGTGAAAGAGGAGGTGTGTAGGTAGGTGGATACGCTTTAAGCGTGTGTGTTAATGTGCGTCAGAATCTTTCTTCAAGGTGGGAGTTGAAAGAAATAGTTCCAGTGCCATACATATTTCTGAATGTCCACCTTACAGTTCACTGTGCTTGTTTACCTGTAAATATCACTGCGCAGAATGGAGAAAAATTAGTGCAGTCAAGGCAGTTTAATATTATGTTTCATCTAGTATTCAGTTTGTTAATGTTCAGATTTTTTGAGGAAAAATGAATTTACAAAAAAAAAGAATGTTCAAATATGTCAACATGTGTCTATGTTAGAGAAGCATTGATTTCAAAAACAATAAAAAGTTACTTTATCAAACAAAACATTTAGAGTATTTTCTGTGACTATACTCTGGTAATCCATACCAGATTGTTCAAATAACAATATTTTATCCAGCTATCACAAATGCAGGAAGAATAACACAAATACACACATATGCAAATAACTATAATCTGACAGATTTTTTTTCTTGAGAAGATATTGTTTCAGGGAGAAACAATTTGGCATGGAGAAGTCATATGTGTGTCCTTCATCCTTTCCCTTTTCACAGCTTCTTTGTTCCAAATAAGTTTCCTCCAACTACTTCTTCCATGTGAGCTTCTGCACATGAGACTCTCGTCATGCGCTTCAGCTTGAGTAAAGAAATGTTGGATGGTGCAAACTTTACTTGCCCCTGTCCTGTTTCTTCAGTCCAAATAATTCCCTCTCTCCAAGGGAAACTTTTCCTGGCAATGACATAGAGATACTGTAGATACGTATTTCTGTGTCTTTATTGTGTTTTGCTGCTGACTTCTCTCAGCTCAGAAGATTAGAAGTTAAGCCAGCTAAAGGTAGCAAAGACATATCCACTATTAAGATGACACTGTTTTACTTTGTAGACTTGACTTGCAAAAAGGTTTTCCAGTGCTGTGATATGATGTTATATAGCTTTCCATCTAGAATGGAAAAAATCTCCATATATACACAGAAATCTTGGATAGGATCTAGTGGAAATTAGCCATTAAAATCAATGGAACTTGTGACATTGCTATCTTGTCCCATGGATTTCAATGTGGCTAACCCCCCCCCCCCCACAAATACACTCCATATTTATCCAACTCTTTTGCTGGTATCAATGTAATAGCTTGAGTTTAATTGGATGATACTTCTATTTAACTGCTTTACAATAGTGAAAGGTGAAGGACTTTGATGTACTTAATGTCATGTTTATCCAAACATTTTCAAAAGACCTTTTATTGAACATGCAACACCAGCTAGGCTGCAAAAAATGCCCAAGATAAACATAGAAATGTCTGCACATTTCTCCAGGAACATTAACTTTCCCCATTTAAGCTTCAAGTGGAAAAGAGAAGGAAGGAGGAAGGTCATTGTGGAACCAGCTACACTGCCAGTTAAACCCATAAGAAGGGCAAAATGTGGGGTGAACATGGCCATTAGCAGAGTCAACAGGAGGAGGGAACTTTTTAAAACCGTAGCAAGCCATGGCGCATTGGGACTGCATTCGTGGCTTGGAGATATGCAGCCATGCAAGATCTCTGTGGCAGCAAAGAAGGGCAATGGGTAAGATAAGAGTGCCTTGATCAAGAGGCACAAATTTACCAAGGTCTGTAATGATGATGGAAGGTTATCAGTGATAACCTCCTTTGTTTCTTTTCCCCATGTCAGGAATGCTGTCAGTGCAAAGACTGTCTTGAAGATGCAAGCCAAGAAGTGAGTCCAGTTCAACATGGATTGGCATTCTCTAGGATTCTGCATGCTCCCTTCAAGGGTAGGAAGAAATATCTGTGATGTGTAACTGAAAATGATCACTCCTGCAGAAACCAGGATATTCTCGAACTCCACAGAGAGCTTGAATCTTGCCCACGACCATCGGTGCATTTGGGTGAGGCAATAAGTGATCACTACAAAGATAATAACAAAGTGGACCAAGGAGCAGAGGAGGCTGAGCTTAGATACAATTTTGAGGGTTTTGATAAACACACAAGGCAGCAGACCCACAAATGCAATTGCTGACCATGTTTTCTCAGTCACTGGTAGAGCTGGAAAGCTATGTGACAGCAAGTTCGCACTAACAACCAGATACAAAATGCATGTCATGATCAGTTCCATCACCTGAGTCATGTTGACAACTCTGCCACCAAGTTTCGGAAATAGCTTTTTGCAGCAGGCATTAGCGATGTCTTCATATGTGCCTCTCACTCTTACAAGCTGCCCATCTTCATTTTCTTCATACAGGCAAGCGATTAGAATTTTGCCAGTGTAGCAGCAGAAAACTGCAGCCAGGATAATAAGAAGCAGCCCACTATATCCACTGTGCAGGAGAGCATATGGCAAACCTAGAACAAAAATCCCCTAGAGACAAAAATAGAGACGACAGAAACCCTGAAGGAAAATGTTTACTAGAAACAGCCCGTTCAAACCTGCAGCTGTCAAAGGCTACCTTTCGCTAATTGCACGGAAGGATCACTGTTACATTAACCTGTCTCCGTAAATAATAGTTGCCAAAAATGTGTATATTCATGATGAATGAAGTTAGCAGGAAAAATAACTGCTGGCAGGAGCACAGAAATTCAGATAAGCCAGGAAATTGAAGACAAGCAAGCTGTAGAGACAAGCTCCTATTAAATATTAAGTGCTGATATGACTGCATGCATAATTTTGAAAGACTCCAAAGCAGTTATTTAATCAATGCACGTATTAATGTTCAATAGGGGTTCAATAATGATAAAATCAAAGAGCTTTAGCTCTTATTTGCACATTAGGTGCAAATAAGGGACTGACATTTTTAACAGTCATTCTGGATAGATAAAAATGGGGACCTAGACCTGAATCCAGTCACTTTTAAATCAGCAGTCTTCCTTTTCTTTCTGCTTTCACACAGACACATGAAATGTTTAAGTCTCCTTTTGGCCTTCATCTATACACACTGTTTATGATGCTCAGCAGAGGAGACTACATGTGTTTTAAATGTACCCCAAACTGCAAATTCAGCCAATCCATTATGTATAAAAAGAGTATTTCAAACATAATTTGAATATATTTGCATTTCAGCAGAGGTATCTCTGTTTTGGTCCCAATTTACAGTCTGCCTTCCATAACTTAATCCTCCATTATTCAGCAAAGCCAAGTATATTTAATAACAAGGGAAGATATGAAGATCATATGAGTAATTTATGCAATCACTATACTGGAAAAACTGGTTTCAGCTGTCCAGGGCCTTGGGCACAGAAGTTTTCCATCTCTTGTTACCTGGTTATTTTGAACTGGAAATTCCAAGGATTGTACCTGGGCAGTCTGAATACAATGAAAGTCTCTGCCACTGAGCTAAATGTTTACAGGGGTTGTATTTAAGAAGAAAGAACTCTGTCCACTGTATTTTTCTTGGATTATTTGTGGAAGCATGCCTTCCTAAAAAGAGAATCAGAAATGTTTGCAAACAATTTAAATAAACAATCCCAACATATCCTATCCATTTTATAGACACATACAGAAGTGGGTAGGTCCCCCATCCAAATGGAAGTCTCACACTGCTCAGTGTTATTTTTATTGCTGTTTAACTCACATTTGTACAGAAACTCTTGAACAATAGCCATGCGTTTAAAAAAAAGATTCAATTTCAGATAAACTGTTCTCATTGACATGTCCCATTTATATATAACAAATTTTGAAAATATACCATGGACATCAGTCACACACTTGTCAGTGGTTTTCATTTCAGGAAAGATAATTGAGAGAAAGAAAAAGAGGAGAAAATTATTTATGTAGATAAGTAATCCTTATTAGATTAAATGTTCCAGCTGCAATGAAACCACTGCAAGGGAAAAATGTTATTCTTTAAAGCACCCTTCCTTGGCCAGCAACTGCTTCCCTTGCATGTAAGGAGTCCCACCAGCTTTGAATGAAGTAATACCACAGTGGCCTTTCCCCCTCTCTGAAATCTGAAGGTAATTCATCCTTGTATTGTTCCTGGATAGGACCATTCCAGTGGGTAGTTTAGTGGGCAGAACATCTGTTCCTAGTAGGAGTCTCTTGCATCTCCAGGAAGAGCTGGAATTATTCCTGCTAAGAGCCAGTTCTGAAAATACTGGACTAGAGGACAATATTTCTATGGGGTTTATCTCTTACCAGCATTATCAACATGAGATTATTGATACAACAAGGAAATTACTCTAATGGCTGAGTTTATTATCACCAAGCACCAATTCTGCCAGATACAGCTTGCATCTAAAGAGACCCTTTAACCTTGCTTGGAGAGAGATCACAGCAGAGAGAAGGGCATTTTATCCCAGATTGGTCATGGGAAGGGGATGATGGCTTCTCAGCTTATTTCCATAATCACCATCATTATAACATCAGTGTCACCTTTCAAAAAGCTACTTCTAAATCTCTTGCCTCAAATTTGCTAATGGTAACCAATAAAATTCCTGTGCAGCCTTGATTATATGCATATTGGGTTGTCTAGGGATAAGTTAGGGCAGTGTTTCCCAATCTTGTGCCCATCAGATATTTTGACTATAATTCCTACTAGGCTCAGCTAGCATGGTTGATGGAGTCACAGTCCAAAATGTCTGGAAGGTACCATGTCAAGGAACGTTGCCTTAGGATCTCTGCTGGTGGCAGAATTTCTCCATTATTGATGCAAACAAGCAAGCAGAATTATCATGTGCTATTGAAATATGTATGGATGAGGCAAGTGGGTTTCTATTGGCTTGCGTTGGTCCAGCCATGTCCTCAGTCTAGTAATATTCACAAGATGGGGTCAAGGATATGCGTTGCCTCCATATACCAACAATTTTTTCTTGCATAGGTACCCAGTACAGGTAATCTCTAGCCTAGTCCATACATATCTCACATCAGGCTTTGGTGGTTCTACAGGTGGCATAAATCCCTCAATGCAAGAGTGGTTTTGAGCCTGATTGTGGAAACTGCCCAATTCATTTTAATTGCCTTTTCAACATTCTTTCCAAAATGTCCTTACAAGGTGCAGCTGAATACTTGGTGGCCTCCATGGCAACCTATGGGATCTCTCTGTTATTACAGGGACAGAAAATTCTGTGCTCCAACTTACCTTTTTGTGCAACAGGTGGAAGTCTAATGTGTTAATGACAGGAGGTACAGAGATTAGTCTGTACCTTTCATAGTCAGGCAGCTATCTGAGGAGGGTGCAATTGAAGGTGGGGGCTTATTAAGATGGTTTGCTGCCAGAGAAATATGAAGCCTGTGAGATTCTAGATTCCCATGAGGGAATATAGAGATGTTCCAGGTAGGTGTTTGGATGCTCTGATGGATATATGAAATTGGGTGCTCAATAGGGGTGGGCAAACCTGGCAGTTTTGCTTTCTTCTACATTCTGATTTTTTAAAATCTCAAGTCCTTTGTCACCCAAATATGGAGAACTTTGTGAATCTTGGTAAATTCTTATTGCAAGCAGACTTACGGCCACATTTAGTAAATACAGCTTATTTCCAGCATGTAAACAACCTTGCTGTACTTACCTGCCACAGAGCTGCCAAAGATAAGGAGCCTGTCAGGAAAAAAGTGTCGTCCTAATTCTGCAGCACAAGTATGGCAGAATGCACAGCAGTCCAGATCAGACTTCTAGGAGCAAACACTCAAAGACCTGCATCTGGATGGACAAATCTGCTGGTTTCCACTTTCTGCACACTTTCTGTTTTTAATCTCAAGGGTTTTTGTTTGTTTGTTCCAAGCATGGAGATAATCTTTGTGATTCTCAGCAAATTCTTGTCAAAACCAAATGGAAATGAAGTTTTTAACCACCTTTAGTGGCCAACAGGAGGCAACTGACAGAGTGGCTTCCTAGCATCTCCAGTCCTTATCTTCAAAGGCCTCAACCAGTCCTTCAGCATTCAGAAAAACAGAAAGCTATGGAACACTTATAGGCTGACAACTAAAGGCCATGTGGTACAAGGGCTGGTTCATCCGGGCCCTAAGAAAGACCCCGTACCACCCTCGATGGCCCGCTGTGATGACTTTGCCAAGCATTTTAAGGAGAAAATCACTCAGATTCGTCATGAGCTGGACTCCACTAGTGACTCAGAGCCTTCTGGGGAGGTGCCAATGTTGCCGTCTGGTCCAAAATTGATGGATGAGTTTCAGTTGTTGCGGCCTGATGTTGTGGACAAGGTGCTTGGACAAGTACGTCCCACCACCTGCTTACTCGACCCTTTCCCATCTTGGCTACTTAACAAAGCCAAGCATGGGATAGGGGCCTGGATCCTGGAGGTTGTCAATGCCTCTCTGAGGGACGGCCAGGTACCTGCCCCTTTAAAGGAGGTGGTAGTCCAGCCAGTCCTAAAGAAGGCATCCCTGCATCCAGAGATGGGCACAAATTATAGACCAGTGGCCAACATCCCATTCTTGGGCAAGGTGTTAGAGTGGGGGGTGGTGGGACAACTGATTATCTGGACCCATTTCAGTCCGGCTTCAGACCTGGATATGGTACTGAATCTGCCTTGATCGCCCTGTATAATGACCTGTGCAGGGAGAGAGACAGGGGGAGTGCGTTCCTCTTGGTCCTCCTGGACCTCTCAGCAGCTTTCGATACCATCGACCATGGTATCCTTCTGGATAGGCTAGCGGGATTGGGAGTAGGAGGCACTGCTTTGCAGTGGTTCCGCTCCTATCTCAATGGCCAATTCCAGAAGGTGGTGCTGGGGAACTATGGCTCTGTGCCGTGGCAGCTTTGCCATGGAGTTATGCAGGGATCCATTTTGTCCCCCTTGCTATTTAACATCTACATGAAACCGCTGGGAGAGGTCATTAGGAGGTGTGGGCTGCAGAATCATCAGTACGCTGATGATACCCAGCTCTACCTCTCTTTTTCAACCAATCCAGGTGAGGCAGTGGCTGTACTGAACCGGTGCCTGGCTAAGGTAATGGGCAGGTTGAGGGCCAATAAACTGAAGCTCAATCCAGACAAGACAGAGGTCCTGTTGGTAGGCGGTTCTGGCTTCGGGGTAGGGGACCTGGACCTTGTCCTGAATGGGGTTGCACTCCCTCTTAGGGACAGGGTCCGCAGCTTGGGAGTGCTCCTCGACCCAGAGCTATCGTTAGAAGCTCAGATGACAGCAGTGGCGAGGGGCACTTTCCTTCAGCTTCGGCTGATCCATCAACTGCATCCCTACCTGGAGAATGATTGTCTGGCGACAGTGACACATGCATTGGTAACTTCTTGATTAGACTTCTGTAATGCACTCTACGTGGGGCTGCCCTTGAAGATGGTCCGGATACTTCAGTTGGTGCAAAATAGAGCTGCCAGGTTGCTGACAGAGACTGAACATTGTTCTCATATAACCCCTGTCCTCCGTCAGCTTCACTGGCTCCCCATTGAAGTCTGGGCCCAATTCAAGGTGCTGGTTACCACCTACAAAGCCCTGAATGGCTTGGGACCCAGTTATCTAAAGGAGCGCTTGCATCCATATATGCCCTCCTGCCCCTTGAGATCGGCAGCAGAGGCCCTTCTCTGGGAACCCTCCGTGAAAGATATTAGGAGGGTGAGTACCCAGAGGGGGGCCTTCTCTGCGGTGGCGCCCCACTTATGAAATGAGCTCCCCAGAGAGGTCCACCTGGTGCCGTCGTTATTTGTTTTTCGGCGCCAGGCCAAGACCTTTGTATTTAAACATTATTTTAATTGTTGAATTTATTTATTGATTTTATATTTATGCCAGGATGTCTCCAGATTTTTATGTATTTGTATAGTGATTTATTTGTATTGGAAGCCGCCCCAAGGCTTTTGCGAATGGGGCGGCATATAAGTGTTTCAAATGAATAAATAAATGTGAAAGAAGACTGATATTGAATCTTATTGAGCTTGCCAAAAAGCTCATGGACCTATGAAAAGGCAGTGATTGTGTGTGTGTGTGTGTGTGTGTGATGGGGCTTCTTTCCAATAGTTGCTGCTGCTACAGCTTGAATACTAAAGGGTGAAAAGACAGTGAAGTCTAAAGGCTGATCCACAGCTGCTTGTGGAGATTCTGCTCAGAGTTGATTCGATCTGGTATAACCTGCCTGCCAAAGTATAACTCAGCCCTCGAGAATCCCATCAAGCATGCTTCACAATGCAAAAGCCACTTCATGGGTCAATTGCATCTTTGCCCATCTTGGACGACCAAGGCTGGACAGTCTGAACTTAGAGATCTGCTGGAGTGGGAGGGGAGACTATTGTAAATACTGGCTTTATTATTTATGAAATACATTTCTATACTACCCAACTTCTGATACTCTCTGGGTGGTTCACAGCAAAGAAAACCATAAAATACAATGTGAGATCTGGTATAAAAGTTTAAAACAACAGTATAAAATACAGATAAAAAGCAACATAAAATCTAGCAGCAATGTGAGGGCTTAAAATAAGGTTCTGAAACAAAAGAAACTACAACAATTGGAAAGTGGAAATGAGTAGTTTTGTTCTGGTGAAGTCTAGAATGGGGAAATTTTGTTCTTTATTAAGGAAGATGCATGTCACCCCACTCCTAAACAGACCATCTTTAGATAGGGGGGATTTAGCTAATGTTAATCCAATAATTCATCTCTTTTAAGGGAAGGCTGAATATATGATGGCAGACCAATATCTGCTTGACTATTGCTGTATGATGGAAGGCAGCCATGTCTCATCCTATGCTGTATCAATTGCACTAGCTGCCAATTGATTCCCAGGCCAATTCAAAGCACTTCATAGCTTGCAATCCTTCTGTCTCAGAGGCTGCAGAGGTGGATTCTGTTCCAGTGACTGTCTTTGGCTACTCGCCCACAGCGCATGGAAAGAGGACACCTATGGCAAGAACCAGGGTTTGCTCTGCAATTGTTTTGTGATTATGGAATGATATCCACAAAGAGTGTAGAAACTGTTCATCTTCTTTTCAAAGCATAGATTAATATGATGGTTTGGGGCATCTTTTGGAGGCTGGATACTCTTTGTTGATTGCATTCTATTTCACTGGCTGCTATTCTAAAATTGCATTTATTGCTGTTTATTGTTTTGCTCTTTATTTCCTGTTGGAAGCCACTTTAAGCATCAGTACACAACTTCAGTATTAACAAGGAAGAAAATGAAATGGTGTGAGGGTTTGCATAACTTGGCTTAATCATGCCAACAGAGACTGCAGCCAAGA